TTAAACAGTTTCTCCTGGACAATAAGAACTCACTAATATGCCAGAATTGTCTAAAACAATTAAAAAAGTGTTATGAATTTGTGCAACAAATCAAGGCATCAGAAAATAAATTTATTCAAGGCAAAGAAATCAAAACGGAACATGATTATTTTGAAACATCAACGGGGAATGTGGCGAACAATGAAACGACAAATGCAAAAGTAACGGTAAATGAAAAGAGCAACAATGAAAATGTGTTTAAAACTAACCTTAAATTTAAGCCGATTTTACCAAAAACTACCTCGTCTAAGGAAATTGTAAATAAAAACGTAGAAACATTAGTGATGGAAAATAAAACGCGTTTATATAAATGTTTACTGTGTGCGGAATCCTTTAAATCGTTTAAACAATTAAAACAACATGAAGTGGAATTTTGTGAAAATAATTTGTTAAAAGAATTAAAAATTTGTGTCTACTGCCATAAGTGTTTTAGTAAAGAGATTTCTTTAAGTGATCATGTATCTCTAAAGCACCCACAACAACAATTTCTATGCTGTTTATGTCATGATAAATACTTTGCTGCCAAAGGTTATTTGGCTCGTCATATTAATAAAGTCCACGACCATGAGAGTTTACAATATTTTTGTGGAGAATGCCCCGAGCTACTATGTTTTCCAAGGCCGGAGGAGGTACAAGAACATTTTTTATGTAAACATCCTTATCAGAGCAGCAGCGATGCTATGGAAGATCAAACACAAGCAACTTTAAATGATGATGATATGGATTTGGAAATGCATGAAGAATTCTTAGATGAATTTTTACTAGCTCATACAAATGAAAACACATTTCAATTTTCTGAATGTTGGGAAGCATTGGATCTGCATCTGCCCGATATGTTGCAATCAACTGCAAGTAATCTTAATAATGTGAGCGAATTCACAGAAGCCTTCGCCTGTCCGAAATGTTTTGAACAATTTAAAAATCCTCAACCTTTATTGAAGCACTTGGCTGAATTACATAATCTACCGGTGTTAATATGCCGTAAATGCCAGAAATGTTTCCCCTCATTCAAAGATTTCAAAAGACATAAACTACAGGCGTGCTTAAACAATTCGACTAAAATTCCTCTTACCGTGCAATGTCCTTATTGCCCAAAAACTTTTAATAATTCAGCCAATCTCAAGCAACATATACGCATTGTTCACAGTCAGCTAAAACGTCATATTTGCCAATTATGTGATAAACAATTCTCCACTTTGGATCATCTAAAGAAACATGTCTTGAGTCAACATCAAAATGAACGTAAACATGTTTGTACGGTTTGTGATAAAAAATTTACTCAAATGGGTCATTTGAAACAACATTTGGCTATACATACTACCGGCAAAACGTTGCAGTGTTCAGAGTGTTCTTTGAAATTTTGGCGTAAAATTGATTTGGAAAGACATCGTCAGAAGAATCATGTTTTTGAGGAGGTGCAAGGCGGAAAATAAGGTTAGTTGATAATATGTTTTTTTAATATTTACTGAAACATTTTAATTTACATATATTTATAAAGTTAAATTTTCTATCCATTCATATATCTTCTAACTTCTCTTGTCCAAATGTGAAATTATTTAGGGAAGAGTTAATCACAAATTCGTGAGGGCATTTATAAAGGTTTTCAGTTTTGAGCTTAGTTTAAAAGTTATTATGTAATCTTGAAAATTGTAACATTTACTTTTTACGCAAAGTTGTGTTGGTTATCAGGGGAACTGATCTAGAACTGAACTAGAATTGAACTAGAACTGAACTAGAACTAGAACTGAACTAGAACTGAACTAGAACTGAACTAGAACTAGAACTGAACTAGAACTGAACTAGAACTGAACTAGAACTGAACTAGAACTGAACTAGAACTGAACTAGAACTGAACTAGAACTGAACTAGAACTGAACTAGAACTGAACTAGAACTGAACTAGAACTGAACTAGAACTGAACTAGAACTGAACTAAAACTGAACTAGAACTGAACTAGAACTGAACTAGAACTGAACTAGAACTGAACTAGAACTAAACTAGAACTGAACTAGAACTGAACTAGTACTGAACTAGAACTGAACTAGAACTGAACTAGAACTGAACTAGAACTGAACTAGAACTGAACTAGAACTGAACTAGAACTGAACTAGAACTGAACTAGAACTGAACTAGAACTGAACTAGAACTGAACTAGAACTGAACTAGAACTGAACTAGAACTGAACTAGAACTGAACTAGAACTGAACTAGAACTGAACTAGAACTGAACTAGAACTGAACTAGAACTGAACTAGAACTGAACTAGAACTGAACTAGAACTGAACTAGAACTGAACTAGAACTGAACTAGAACTGAACTAGAACTGAACTAGAACTGAACTAGAACTGAACTAGAACTGAACTAGAACTGAACTAAAACTGAACTAAAACTGAACTAGAACTGAACTAGAACTGAACTAGAACTGAACTAGAACTGAACTAGAACTGAACTAGAACTGAACTAGAATTAAATTAGAATTGAACTAGAACTGAATTTTACACAAAAAGTAACACTTTATTTAAAAGCTAGTACTAATGTCTAGAACTAAAACAAAAACATAAGAACTACTTTACATAAATAATTAAAGACAAAACTCAAAATAAGATGTTGTCAGTTCCGCTTTCATTTTTTCAAATATTTCTTCAAACATTTACACAACCTAAAGGCAGCATCTTGTAATTTTGACTTTTCATGAAAAGCTATAGATAATCTAAAACAATTTGAAGCACCACCAGTGCTAGCAGCAAATCTTGAACCAGGAATAAAGAATATTTTCTCTTCGGCCATGCAAACTTTTAGAAATTCAGCAGCACTGCAATCTGAGGGTAAAGTAACCCATATAAAATAACCACCTCTGGGAGCTAAAGAACTACAACCCTCGGGTAATTCTTTGGACAATACCTCACTGGTGGCCAACATGCGTTCCTTATAGGCATCATACATACGTTTTATATGCTGTTGTCCCAAATTTAATTCAAATAAACTGGCCACTATGCCAGAAGTATAGTTGTTTAAACAGCCACCACTACCAGCCAGACCACTGCAAGTAAAATGTAATTTTGTTGAAAACTATATATATTCTTGAGATTTTTACCCATTTACCTGTTATCCACCAAAGTTTTAACTCTCTTGGGCATTTCCAACCATCCCAATCTAACGCCTGGACCCAAGATTTTCGAAAAACTGCCATTAGATATAACATTTCCCTTAAATTCCTTATCTTTTATATTATCATAGGCGAATAATCTCTTAGGTGCTTTATTATCTTTATAATATAAAATATTATAAACATCATCACAGGTTATAAGGAAATCATATTGACGTGCCAATTTTATTAAGCCTTCACATACTTGTTCCGAAAACAATATACCAGTAGGATTGTGATAGGTGGGTATGGTATAATACATGCCCCAAAATTCTTTATTTTGCGATTTAAATTGTTTTCCCTTAACCAACTTTTCCAGTAAAGCTAAATCAACACCATCTTCATTTAGTTTAACTGGTATTATATTTAAAGTAGGAAATTGTTTCATAGTATCCAAAGCAATCATATAAGTTACTTCATCCACAAAAATGTAACCATTAAAATCCACTAAAGTGGAGAGTATAACATGCAAACCCTGTGTAGCGCCACTAGTTATAAAGATATCTTCACTGTGAATAACAAATAAACAATTATTAATTTATTTAATAATTACCAAGCAATTTAAATAACTTACCTTTTTACCTCACTTTGATACATTTCTGTAAAATACTTAGCAATAGCTGATCTAGCCTCATAGGTGCCACTAGTAGGTCCATATTGAAATAATAATGAAGAATTGCTTTCTTTTTCATACTTCTGTAAAGAGAATGCAAGTGTTTATTTATAATTTCTTTATTTATACATTTTTTGCTATTTCCATATTTACCAATCTGTGTTGTGTGGCCTTTATAAAGATGTCACTGCAATTTTCCAATAAATCGGTGCCAGGTGCCCCTACACCCAAATTTAAAATCTTTGATTCATAAACATTCCAGTCCCCACCATCAAACAGATGTTTTAGCATACGTTCTTCATTTGCTAAAGCCATTTCTAATTATTTTTTAGCTTCTTAAAGTTCTTAAGTGTTTGAATGGATTTTCCTTACTAAATAATTTCCAGTTATTAACTAAATTGTTATAGTCGTCTCTTAGCCCTTGTGACTTCAATAAGTGTTAAGAGTGTTTTTTTTTTTTTGCAGTTAATCAGTAAAACTTAATAATTTTAGCAAAATTGTTTATAATGATAACAATTTTTAGAGATATGAATGTGTGTACTTACATATGATTATGTTTAATTGTTGTTAAGATTTTCTGTTAGAATGAATAGTCATATTTTATTTTTTTTTTTCTAATGAACTTTGTTTTTTCTTTTTTAATAACTTTAAGGGGATGGTTTTTTTTATTGTTTAAAATGTTTATAGTTGTTTTATAAAATAAGATAGTGTTCTAAGGGCGGGTTTTTCAGATAAAGATAATCTACATTCTTTGTTTAAACCTAGTTTAATATATGTTTTGTGTTTTTCAGTAAACAGTAACGTTACTTATTATCTTAGTTTAACTGAGTGTTATTGGCCAATTAAACTTAAGTTATAAGTGAGAAGACACAATTAATAAAAACAATAAAACAATGATTTCGGAAGAACAAAAACTTAATATTTTAAGTAAATTGCAATTTTCCAATTTGTTTTGTTTTATTTATTATTGTTTTAAATGTTTATTTAACATTTTTCCAAAATTTTTCATTTTACAAAAGTATTATTTGCAAAAAACAGCTGTTCATTGTTTATGTTTTTGAGTGAAAAGTTGGCAATACTAACAAAGTTAACTAAACTTAAATCCATAACTGAAAAACACAATCATAGGTTAAAGTCCGTCTAAATTTGTTCCGAGTTTAATCTAACAGCAAGTTAAGCCTAGTTTAACTGAGTAGTAAGAAACCCGCCCTAAATTAATTTTATTAACTAAAATATTATAGTAGGATTTACAATATTTTCTTGAGTGTAAAGATTAATTTTTATGTTGTCAATTTATTTAGAATGTTTTGTTTATTTTGGGTTGTACTTTAGGTGGGAGCATTTTATGATTTAAAATAGTCTACACAACTTTTAAAATACCCTATAATCAAAAATTGAATTTTATTTATAAAACTATGCAACTAAGTTGTGTTTAAATTCTTCTTTTAATTCGGATCCTAAGCTCGTATAATTCAGATATCAGATATGGTTTTGAAAATGTTTCTATATAAAACTTGTGAAATCGGTTCGTAAATATTGGATATAAGATAAAAATTCTCAAAAATTCCAATCGGCTTAGAATCATTTATTGAGTCGACATGTATGGGCATGGTCAACATTGTAATTAAACTATAGGTTACATGTTTGAAGTTATTGTTTTACATTTAGTACATGATCTTCTATAGTAACAGAGACGAAACATATTGAAAATGTTTAGAATCGGTCCATTTTTTTCACCAAGTCCCCTATAGAAATTAACCTAGCCTAATGAACTCCCCTAAGACAACATTTTATATCATAATTACGTTAAGTATCTCGACAATAACCGATACAATTATGTTTTGTAGCAACTTTGACCTCATTTGACCCTAACCTTCTTACAAAACTGCCTTCAGAAAGTTAATTGTTTACAGTTTAGTTATAAAAAATAGCATCTTGATTAAATCTAGCATAAATAAATTGTATGCACACCTAAATTTCTCTCCCTATTTGCTCTTAGCCCCCATATACAGCCTCTTCCAGAAAGTTAGTTTTTCATTAAAAAATGGCTTAAATATTCCAGTGTAGAGGACCATCATATGGACGGCCACAACCGACTATACTTTTTTACTTATTTTTTTAATATTTTTCAGTTAATAGGTAATATATGTATGTATATATCAAAAGAAAGATATTTCAGATACCTTTCAATGATATACATAGATACATAACAAAATATTGATGTATTTTTGTTATATCCAAATCGGTTTTTGATGATTTTTCTCATATCTCAACCGTTTGTGTAAAAAATTTGTGGTATTTACTGTTTATTTTTAAATTTTAAAGATTAAGTGTAATTTTTAATTGCATATTTTTAAAAACACAAAATATTTTAACCGTATTGAGCCACTACATTTGAAAAACTAAAATTTCAAATTATTACCTTTAAAAAGTTTAATTGCTAATAATAAAATTATATCTTGTTAGTTTTAGTAAACACGCAAATTATATTAAAATTGCATTATTTACAAATTTATTTCTATACATTATAGTTTATCTAATTAGACATCGCATGCAAATAATATCTATCTATCTATCTTAGTCTTTAGTTAGATATTTAAAAAGGTCTTTTTGAAATAAGCTAAAACTTTTTAATGTTTGGGCATTGTAACACATCTTATAGGAATTGTGCTATTTAATTGGTAATTAAATAGTCTAAAATACTAGGTATCCAAACAAGGTCCTTAAGGTTTTTGTTGGCTTCTTCACAGAGATATTATACATATTTGTCGCTCTTTTTTCTGAGTTATACGGCTCAATTATTTGGCATCTATAACCGACTTTTTGCAGGAACGTAAATTGTAGTTTTTTTCATAGAAAAATCATAGTTTGTATTGTTTTATAGATATTTATATTAATCAAAAAACTTAGAAATCCAAACAAGGATCCAAAGCATTCGTTCTGAAACTACATAAATATATTGTAATTGTTGCTAAAAGACCTTAAAACTTTTATCAAACCAACATTTATTTACATAAAATAGTTGTTTTTTAATCTATAAAGTAATACTGATCTTGTTGATAGTAATATCTCCGGGGTTTCGAAATATTTATGGTACAAGACCTTATTGACGAAATGTAAAACTTTTTTTCTAACTCACTGTAATCTTTACAAACTTCTGGTAACATATTTTCTTGCTTTTATTTAACAATCTGGTAACATTACCAATTGTTATCAACAATTATTGTGAATAACAAAGAATAAAAGTTAAAATAATACTTGCTAACACGAAAAAAAAAAATAAACAAAAAAATTTCCGCAAAATATGGCCTCGAATGATAATTCCAATAATAATACAACATCAAAACAAGTTGAAGGCACTAATAAAGAAACACCAAATAAACAGGCGGCACATAATGCTCTACTGGATTCACCCATACGAGGACCAACACTCTCAACTAGCACTTCAAGTTTTGAAGCCTTAGATCCTCATGATCCTAATCTAAGTAAATTGGCCAACAAAATGTTTCGCAAAACTGAAGAGTATATAACAAATGAATTGCAAGCTCCGCTAGAAGATTATCAACTATTGGAAAATATGAATCGTGCCACTATAGCAAAATATTCTGATATGCGACAAATATCGGAAAATCTAAGTCTATCAACAGCGGAATTAAGTCAAAAGTTTCAGGCATTAGTAAGTTTTTGCTCTAATTTATGCAACAAATATTTTCATTTTTAATTAAACTTCAGAAACCTTTAATGCAACAAATTGATGAAATTTCCGATACTGTGGATAAACTAGAAGCGGCCGCCTATAAATTGGATGCCTATTCTATAGCATTAGAGAATCGTGTTAAATCAGTTTTACAACGAAAAAACAATATGTAAAAATTTGTATAAAAAATAACTATTTATTAAGATATTAAACATCAAACACACATTCATATTTATTATTTAGCCTAATATTAATTTAAATATTATGGCCACTATATTTAGAAATATCAAGGGATCTGTAAAGTAATAAGAAAAACATAATAAACTCATATTAATGACAAAACTTTAAATAAACTTACATTTGGCCACTGTACGTATAGATCTAATTAAATTTAAAACTTGAGCCTTAACCGTAGGTTGTCCAAACTCTTGATTCATTTGTTGAGCACCCCAGCCAACTAAAAAAAATGTGTAATAGGAAATGTTTCTTAAATGATTGCTGCTTATTAGTTAATTGCGCTACTACTTACTTCTGGCCAGGAAACGTTCTTCATGTAAAACACATACTGCATTTAAACATAAAAGAGAAGCTTCAATTAGTGTCCACAAAGTAAACATTTTATTTAATTAATATTTTGTTTAAAGTTTTCGGCAAAATCGTCAAGAAACACTATTTTACTGATGACGTTTGTTTTTGAGTCGATTGAGTGTTTCAAACAGCTGTTTTTAGTTAATTGTATCATTCACAATAGTTCCCCAGTACAGTGTTGTATTGAAATCTTCAAATGCAACGCTGTTTAAAAAGTGCCAGTAGGAAAGTTAGAGGAAAAAAGAAATAATTAAAATACAATTGAATGTTTAAGGAACCTATTAACTTAGATAGATAGATAGATAGATAGATAGATAGATAGATAGATTAATAGATAGATAAAGATTAATAGATAAATAGATACATTATAGATAATAGATAGATTAATTGTAAATAAATAGATTAATAATAAATAGATTAATAATAAATAGATTAATTGGATATATAGATGATATATAGATAGATAATGATAGATAGATAGAAGATTATATAGATCGAAGATAGAAAGATATATAGCTCGCTCTATCGCTCGCTCTCTCGCTCGACTCTCTCGCTCGCTCGCTCCCCTCGCTCGCTAGCCGCTCGCTCGCTCGCTCGCTCGCTCGCTCGCTCGCTATCTATCTCTCCCTCGCTCGCCTCGCTCGCTCGTTCGCTCGCTCGCTCGCTCGCTAGCTCGCTGCTCGCTCGCTCCTCGCTCGCTCGCTCGCTCGCTCGCTCGCTCGCTCGCTAGCTCGCTCGCTCGCTGCTCGCTCGCTCGCTGCCTGGTTTCCCCCCTTCCCCCTTCCTTTTCCTTTTTCCCTTTCTCCCTTTTTCTTTCCCTTCCTTCCCTTTCCTCTTTCCCCTTTAATCAATTTCGGGCAACTAGGAGCTTCATCCTCCGCCCTTACAAATAAGTATAAAAATGTACCACATCGTGGTACAGGCTGTTGAGCTAAAAATGCACCTTTATCAAGTAATTTATCAAATAAATCCGCCATATAAGAACGTTTTTCATCTCTGAAGGATTCAAAGCTTCGTCAGGATCTTTGGGCTGTAAAGGCAACACATTAAAACAAAAACCAAAAACATTTATCTATTTATCCTACCAACAACTTTTTCAAATCCCTTAATGGTCCACTAAAATCTTTAGGATTTTATTAAATGGTTCCAAACGAAAGACATTAACGGCAGACTCTTGATTTGTAACAAAATATTTTAGAAAACGATTTCGTAATTTTCTTTCTTCCAATGATGTTTTAGAATTTTTCAATTTTGTTAACCATTCCGTTATAAGATATTTCTCACGATAATTGTATATATACATAAAACTTTCCAGTTTTTGCATTAATTCATTAAATTCATTATCTAATCTTTCAGTTTCTTTAGCGATATCGGGCATTTTTTTGGAATTTTGTTTATACTTTTATTTATTTATTTGAAATTTTTATAGTGATAATAAATTTGTAATAAGTTTTGTGACAATTTATTAGAATAGATAGATTTATAAATAATTGATTTGGTAAAATGAAAACAGGGTTTTACTAAAATAATAAAAATTAACGAACTTTGGATGAAATTATACTTTAAATTGAAAAATAATGAAATTTGGGCCCGATTGCTTTAAGAAAACTGAAAGCAGTTTTGAAAACCTTAATGTGTTTTGTTAGACCCGAGAGAAATATCGCTCCCTATGGACAAAATCTTAAAAATACTGTTTATGAAAATTGCAGGCTTTGGTTTGATAGACCATGTCAAATTTTATCCAGAGTTTTTTTCTAAAAACTTAAATCTGCCCCACTTTGGGTTCTTAAATAATGCTTTAATTGGAAAAAAGTAGAATAGATAATTAATAATTACGTTATTTTAAATAAATTGTTTTTCGTGCTTTTTTATTTCTCAGTTTTATATAAATTATAATACATAAATATTAATAACATGGCAAAAATATTGAGAATTTGAATAAAATTCAAAATGCCTTTTTTTATAAATAAAATAATTATAACAACTTAAAAACTAATTACAACATAAATAAAGTATTGTATATAATTTCGTTACAAAGGGACCTTTAAAGAATGTGCGATTTAATTATTTCTTTTTTTAGTTTTTACATATTTTTTCATTTGTTAGGTTATACAAGTTTTAGCAATTTTATCACAATTCAAAATATATATCACAACCTTCTTTAAATTAAAAGAAAACGGTAGTATTTTATTACATACAATACATTAATTATAATTATTATTATTTGTAATGACTTGTATTCATTTTGATTTTTCTTTTTTGGTCCCGGTCCATAATAGAGTTAGTATATTCGATTTTAGTATTTAATACTTAACGATTGAAATGAATTTTAAACTTACAATTAGGATTATTCTTTATAAATGTACGATGATTAGTGTGAGTACTCCTGTACAATAGTTTGGGTTTTCTGCTATCTTTTTTCTACAATATGTTGTTGCTAATGGAATGTTAAATACAACATTTTATGATCTTTTGTTTAGACAAAACTAAATAATAAATTATAATTTAAATTAAATATAATTGCTGTTGGTTTAGGTTGTTCGCAAATGATATTTTCTTAATCCATAAATGTTGCAACAATCTCAGCTAATGATGTATAGGTACCAATAACTAAGCCCAATATGCCAACAATGATTAAAAAGAAGTTACCTAGAAAAATTATAAATATAAAATTACATTTCATTAACAATTGAGGCAATACTTACTAAACAATAACCACACTTTAGACAAACCATGAGTACTATACCAATGAGTACAGATTTGTATAAGAGCAGGAAATGCTAAACCTAATGCTGATAAACAAAGTGCACCAAATAATGAAATAAATAGTTCCAAATTTGGTATGGCCACAGCTAATAAAACTGGAAATAAAATCAAAAAACGTAAATATATCGAATACAACAATAACCCAAAACTAAACTTACATGTCACCAACACTAACGATGTACGCACTGTATATTCCCAAAAGATTTTTCTACGTTGTGGTCCCAATTTTTGTGCCACATAATCGTTCCATGTTATATCGATGGCTACATAACAGGCTAAACCGTGTGTTATGAAAATGGCAAAGGCTAACATGGCCTTAACACATTGGGCCAAACTGTTTTAGGAATTTAAATAGTTAAACGGTTTGTTTCATTTTATTATTTTTTTTTTCTTTTTTAAATACTTACACATCTTTAGCGGGTAAATTTAATGTTATGGAACCTTCAATTTCATCACCGTAGTTGAGAAAACCAAACAAACCCATACCCACATAAAGGAAGACAATCAATATCATAGCCACATTTAGAACGCCACAGGATCCACCAAATTTCTTGGGTGTTTTCATTTCATTTTCAAGGGGTAAAATTACACCAATAGCTGAAAGGGAAATAAACAAATAAAATTAAAAAATCGTAACCCTTAATCGAAATACATTTTGTCCATGAGTTCCAATCAAATTTTGTTAAACATTGCCACGAGTTAACATCGCAACATATTCTTAATAACATCCATCTAATACTTTAACGAATTCGGTTTATACAATATCAGACTATACTGACAGGTCAAAGTCGGAGGTGATGATCATGAATTTTGAATCGCGAAGGTTAACACTATCACTTTGAGAATCAATGGGGAAATGACTAAATGTCTACATTAAGGAAGCATTCAAATTATGCCTGAAGTCGATAAAAGAGGTTCCCAGTGAGATACGTGACTTATAAATCTCGAGGAAAAGAGTCAGATCGGATGTATATATGCACTAAAAGCCAGATACACCGAAAAACAGATGGAATAAACGAGGTGAAAGGTATGACCACCGTCTAAAATCGGTTCGGAGTTATTCCGCATAATTTCCCAATGGAATTGAGGTCGGACGATACATTTAAAATTATTGCAAAGTTTGAACTTGATAAAGTTCCAATTTTCGATTTTTTTAATTGCAAAGCCAAAGAATCGACTTTTTAAGTGCCGAACTTAAAGTCTTATATGATATAGTAGAAGAGATTGAAATCAAAGACGGATATTCAATAATTTTCCAACAAACCTGAAGCGACAACTTCGAGAGTACTGCATTATACGGAAGAACTCTAGAAGGACTTTGCGGAACCCTAATTTTGAAATTAAAGCGGATGAAAAACTGAAGTTTTATCTGAACAAAATTGTGGAGATAAAAAAGTGTACGATATAGACTCAAGTTCAAGTCTGTTTAGATGGATGATATTTCTTTGCAAATATAAGGAGTCGGCTAAATGAGTTGGATACCAAATCTTCTCATTAATGTCATGGAAGAGTTTCCATGGATGTTGATATTGATACCTATTATCATCCGATGGGGTAATAGACCCTGCGGCCTCCAAAATTTTAAGAAATTGACAAACATATGGCTTTGGTTGTAAAAGTCCAAAACCGACATGTTCAGAAAGATGTCGTTGACGAATAAGTTAAAACACCAAGGACTTTGATACCTAACTGTCTAGTGGGATTATTAAAATCTTAACGCTAACCCTTCCACCATGATGTAAGATTTAACTCCTTCGACGAAAAATTCTAAGTTCAATTGCTAGAAGCAGACCTAAGAGGGGTTACTCTGACTCTGAAGAGGAAGTAGCTCTTAAGGGCCAAATCGAGAAAAAAATATTGTCACATTAATGTGTTCCACTGGGAAAATCAAGTGCCTTCAGTTGTCAAGGCTAGTAATCATATAATCAATGGATATGGAACGTTTAGAGGGACATCGAATGTCCAAAATTGCCACCGTAGACATTAAAGAAGGATCAGACATAAAATGGGGTCTTTACTAATCCATCAGTGTTAGTCCAAAACTTATTTTATTCAATGACGTTGCAGAAAAAACAAGAAGCAGATGATTTAGTTTGACAAGACTGCTAAATCTGTTAAATGAAAGGTACAACTACTTCGGCGAAAAAGCCTGCATTTAATGCTAAAAGTTGGGCTAAGATGGGCCGCTTTATCTGTACATAGGAAATATCCCTGAATACCTTAAACTAAAGCATAAAGCTGCCAAAATGTCGTCATCCAATTATAATAAGTTAAGTTCATTAATGAGCTCCAAGAAACATGGTTTTATTGGGAGGTATTTAGAGGACATTATAACCGAATAGTTCTCACGGGAGTCACAAGAATACAAATGTATGAATGAACAATTGTTGAATCGTGTGGTTTGAACTAAAACGTGTAAGATGTCAAGATATGGACCGTCGTCAATGTTACCTGAGAGCCGTCACAAGTATAACAAATTTTGATCTACAATTAGTGGACTTAACATTGGAAGAATCTTTTGTCAACTTTGTGGAAATTTTGAGAACATATATTATAAACTTGTCAATCGTTCCGTAAATATTTCTTTATTAAATCTTAGAGTTCTGTCTTAGTCCAAAACTTCGCACATAATATTATGCCTCACAAAACGGATTTTAGTTAAAGTTAAATTTAGAATTAAAAATGGAAAATGCTTAAAAACTTACCCTCTAAAGCGAACAGCACAGTACCGAAGAACAATGGAAAACCACTTGCCGGAGCAAAAGCCTCTTTATTTTCCGTCGAAACGGGTTCACGGAAAATATAATAGCAAATAATACCAAACGAGACCATAGTAATGGCATTAGCCAGTGTTGAGAATGGAGCCAAATATTTTAAATTTCTAATCCAATTAATTAGAATTAATGGCAACAAAATAATAACCATACACAAACGTACATCAACGGGTTCTTCAACATAATAATCCACCACAGATTTGATATTCGAAGAGACGAAAACCACATACACACAACAGGTACCCAATTGATAAATCAATAGAAATGTATTGACAACATGACCGATATAAGGAGAACATTTTTTAAATATCGTAGGACCCTCATCCAAAGCTACTTCAGCTACTTTGGGATAAGTCATGCTGGGGATCTGGGGGAAAATATAGAAGAATATTTTTTGTTAGGCAAAGTTATATATTGTTAAAGATTTACTTACCTTTCTTCGGCGACATAACTCATACTCTGCCTTGACCAGTTGATGTATACAATAGGTACAAATGAAACCTATAATAATGGTACCAATAGTGCCCGTGACATAACCGGAATTTTTAAAAGCATTGGGCATAGCCAAGATGCCAGTACCCAAAGAACCCTTAAGCAAATGAAAAAGAGTCTCAGAGTTGCTAAATTATGAAAAGAAAACAAATTTTAACCCTTGTAATTTTAAAAGAAATAAAAATAAACTTACGTGGTGGGATGTTCTACCTCACGATGTTCATAGGGATTGTAATCATCTGCATGTGCCACCACATATTTATCACCTTTCTCGGTTAATTCTAATGAATATTTTTTAGGAGTTTTATCCGAGACATCATTGACATATGCCGGATTACTATGGCCATTTTTACTCATTATCGTTTTTAATATTAATGAAACAAAGTCCTTCAACAAAAACACGTCAACACTCTTTGATTTAACTTTTTCAAATATTCACCTCAAAAACATTCACCTGCAGAGATCATAAAAGAAACCAAAAATAAAAGAGAAATAAGAGCAAATAAGCTAAAGACAACTAACACTTACAAATACATTAAAAAAAAAACAAATCAAATAATCTTGCATTTAAAATATAAAACATTAAATAATTAAAATATTTTTACTGAATTTTTTTTATAGTATAATTTATTTCTGTACCATTAAATTATAAATAAAAATTTAAGATTTTCGTCTGAACTACCGCATCACATCATTCATTTAGAATTCATTACACTCTTCTATATAGTACATTAAGCGTTTCTGTCTTATAGTATCTTAAGGAACTGTAAACAAAAATTTCAGAAAAAAAGCAACGTTGACGTCTTGTATTTTCAAAATTAGTTCAAAAATAAATCGCGAAAAACAATACAAACTAAATGTCTTTTCTAATATTGTATTTAGCATAAAAAAAGAAATAACCCACTAAACAACCGCACGTCCGTCCGTCCGTCTGTCCGTCCATCCATTCTTCTTTCCGCCTGTCATTTCGGCTGACGTACACATGCAGTGTATGTGAATGCACTTCTTGTTTAGTGCCACAATTTTACAGTGTCAATATCAATGCTTTTGCTGGCCAACGATCTCTACTTGTTGCATTGGCAAGTGAAAATTTACCCAGTACCCTGTTAGCCTAAAAAAGATAATTTTTACTTTACAAAAATTTTCTTTTCATTTATTTTGTTTTTTATTTTCTGTCTACTTGTATCAGACGAGATCATGGCAAGACAATGCCAATACTTCAAGTTTGGCACGTGTTTAATATATGTAGGTGCAGTGTTTCCTAAAATGCGTGTAATGATTTTGTTTGTTTTGATTTTTTCTTATAAGTTTCGATATTAGTTGTTCATTATAACTAAACATGATCGCTAAAAGTTAAGTGAACCTTTGAAGGAATAAGAATAATTGAAAATTGATTGACAACATTCTCTGATTACATGTGAGCACCTGCCGTGTTGGCCTATCTCACGGTGGTCTTTTTCAATCACTGGGTGAGCTTTGCTACGACTCACCACCGCCCCTTCAATCTTCAATGAAGAAATCAGATGGCAATTTTTGTACATGGCTAAGCCGGTCCATATACCAGCACTTCGCTGCAGCACTTGAGCTATCCAATCTCTGATCATTGCTGCCCCGTTGCTTAACTTCCAAGATGTAAAACATCACTGTTGATTCGGCAACAGCACCTAGAGACGTAACCGGTAGACCGAAGTACGAATCCATCAAATAAGCCGAGACTTTATTCTTGCTCACAGTGACACACTGTGGTAATTCTGATATGAACAGAGTTTACTCTGAACATATCTGGACAAAGAAGGAAAATTCAATGGTATCATTTGGTATATGATACCTTTCATACATCATCATTCAAGCCAGCACACTTCTCATTCATCCGACACATTCATAAGAGAAAAACATACGACACTCTTTTTCTAGATAAACGGGTGGATGAGGCCCGCATACCCCACATTCATCCCGTACCATTACCAACGCTTAGACCCACAGTCACTCCTCTGTGGGGTATCTGTTGTCTCGGCAACAGCACCGAACTTTTTCCAAACTTTTTCCGCCACTTGCTCTCCCCGCGTATTTGGGTTTAAACCACAGCCACTACGTGAATCCCGAAGGAACCTCAACCTGCGGGTAACAGGCCACCCGTAGAACCAGATTATATGGTTCTCTGGTTAGACCCCATGTCAAATCATACCAAGGACTGGCCGAGAAGTGAAGTGACATCACCAGTTTATAGTCCCGGCAGACTAGAGGTACTGGTAGCACCTCTTTTCCCCCGGATTGCAATACACCAAGATGCGGATCTATCATCAAGGAAATATGCCTTGGGGGTGGAATAGGTACAGTTGAAAATGTTGAACTGTATTCAAGTTGGAACAATAACTGCCTTTGATCGAAACATGATCGCTAAAAGTCAAGTGAACCTTTGAACCAAGAGTTTGAGAAAAGCGGTGTTTGTACGAATAACAGTGATTGAATTTTTCCAATATCTAAGCCCTTATCACTTTTCCTCTTAACTAATCCATATAAAATCGTCAAAATGACAATTGATTGAAACATTCAAACACCCTGATCCATCATAGTAAATCTTCATTATGGAAAAATCTTAGTCTTTGGAAAAGAATAGCTCATCCCACAGAACCAAAATCTTAAAAATAAAATTTAAATTTTTACAGCAGATTTGATGGTTGATCTAAGAGAATATTGATGCAGAATTTCTCAAATCCTTCAATACTTTTGTGATTAAGTGAGTTGCAAATGTCCATCAACTTGACAACGTTCCACGAAATCAAAATTTTCGGAGTTAAAGTGTGTGTAGAGCTGATTAGGTTGATGTAAGAGAAGATGAAAATTGATAAAGACTGATACAGAGTTTCTCAAATCCCTGTAGTTTCTCAAATCCCTGATTCCTGTACCCTAATCGAGAGAGTTGCAAAAGTCAATTGGTTAAAGCTCTCAAACAATATGACATCAATTACAACGCCTATCGTAGTCAAACTAAAAATTATGGACGGGATGATCTTCAGAATAGAAGTATTTGTACAGCAGATTGCATGGTTGATCAAAGAGCAGATGAAGATTGATACAGAGTTCCACGTAAATACCTAAATCCTTCTCATATTTTCTATACTCTGATCCAATGCATTGCAGATCACAATTGGGTGAAGCTCTTTACCAACTTGACATCAACAACGGACAAGTCTACTATAGTCAACCTGAGAATTATGGTCCCGTTCATAATTGACTTCCACGGAATCAAGATCTTTAGAATAAAGGATTTGAACAGCAGATTCGTGGGTTATATATGAAGAAGATGGACTTCTTGTATTAGTATTTTTGTAATCTCTATGTCTTTATCATAATTCTTTCTGAACTGAATATGATCGCCAAAAGTCAAGGGTGTTACAAATGACAATTGCCGAAAATTTTTAACCTTCATGACAACAACAATAAGTGAACTTAACAATAAAGAATTATGAACAGATGATATGCGGATTTTTCTCACTGAATCAAGAGTTTTGGAATAAGATTGTTATTCATCAAGTTGAAGATAAGGATAAATCAAGATTGATTCAGAATGTCTTTAACATCTTGCGTCTTACTCACACTTTATCTGCTATTACGAATGTGATCAACCAGCTTAGCATCAATAAATAAACCTGGGAATTATGGAACGAATTCTTCCTTTGAATTATATATGAAGAGAACATGAGGATTCGTCCGACAGAACTATGATCGTTAGTATAATCAAGTAAATTGCTTCAGAATTTCTTCCTCTGCGTTGATGTGGACATGATCGCTAAAGTTTTAACCAAATAAACCATCTTAGAGAACCTGACCAATACTTAGAACAAACGACCAGACTTTGAGAGAGATGTGGAGAGAAACCTGGGGGATTACCCAGAAACTCGATTCGATAACAAAAATATTTCAATTTGTCTGTTAAATAATTTCTCTATTAGATAGTTCATGGACTAGGTTATCGTTTACCCTATTGATTAGTCTATGGAATACAGTATTGATTAATCTATTAAAATGTTTATCTATTGACTAGGGATAATTATATTGACTAATGATTTCAATAGTTTTCAATTCAAAAAAGTTTTCTTAAACTTGCCTTCCACTCACTCTCTGCTTAAAATAAAACACATAAACTCAACTTTTATTTATCCATTCCCTTTAAATATTTAGAAACACTGTCATAATTCTAAAATTATATTTTTTCATTATAAGACAGTGATTTATTAACATTAACCACGTATGTATCTTAAATCTTAAAAATAAAGAAAATGTTTTATTTCGAGTATTACTTAATTGTTGGCACAAAGCAATTGTATTTCATTTCATTTGTTTAATTTTTGCCATTGTTCTTTATTAACAACACACTGTAGAAAATATAAATAAGGTTTAATTAAAATATGACAAGATTTTTAAATTAAATCATTTTAAAGCACGTAGTAAATGACCTTGACATTGCAGTTTAATTTACAAGTGTTTAAAATAAATAACCTTTTAAAACGAGAAAATAATATGAGTTGAAGAGATTTACATGTAAATGAATATTAACAACAAATATTTATTATAATAAAAAAATTTTTATAATGGAGATCAGTATTATGGTTTTAGGATCATGCTCATAGACATAGACAGTCTTGATTAAAGATCATTCTATACTCTTGACTCCAGATCAGTTTATCGTCATAACTATACATCAATCTATTGTCTTGGTTATAGATCACTTTTGACTATAGATCGGTTTATAGTATTGACTAGATCAATATGAAATCTTCACATGGATTAGTCTATAGTCTTGACTATGGATCTGTTAATAGACTTGACTATAGATCAACCAATAGTCTGTCTAGATCACTTTTGACTATAGATCGGTTTATAGTACTGACTAGATCAATATGAAATCTTCACATGGATTAGTCTATAGTCTTGACTATGGATCTGTTAATAGACTTGACTATAGATCAACCAATAGTCTGTACTATATGTATATCAGTCTATAGTCTTGGCTATGGATTAGTCTTTAGTGCAGCCTAAAGATCGCTCAATAGTCCTAATTGCACATCATTCAATAGTTTTGACATAGATCAGTCTTAATCTTGACTATAGATCAGTCTATAATCTTGACTATAGATTAGCCTTCACTATAGATCAGTCTATAGTCTTGAATATAGATCAGTATATAGTCTTGACTATAGATCAGTCTATAATGTAGACTATAGATCAGTCCATAATGTAGACTATAGATTAGTCTATAGTCTTGTTTACAGATCAGTCTATAGTCTTGACTATAGATCAGTCTATAGTCTTGACTAAAGGTCACTCTATAGTCTTGACTGTAGATCACTCTATAGTCTTGACTGTAGATCAGTCTATAGTCTTGACTATAGATCAGCCTATAATCTTGACTATAGATCAGCCTTTAATCTTGACTATAGATCAGTCTATAAT